TATATATATATATATATATATATATATATATATATATATATATATATATATATATATATATATATATATATATATATATATATATATATTGGGAAAATTACGCCCAACCCCCTAAGGTAGGCCAAATTACGAAAAAACCCATCAACGATATGTATTGTTTTTCCCTTCCGTTCTTACAGTGTCAAATTTACCTACTAAATGAGGGGTTTTTTCGTAAGAAAATACATAATTGAGAGGATGATTGTAATTACCCAAACAAGAAGGGTTTTTTCGTAAATTGACATTACTTCAGGGGTGACCGTAATTTACCCATATATATATATTTTGATGTCATGTATTCTTGATTTTTTTATATATAAAATTGCACCTACAATTTTTCCATTTATTTTTCCTCTTAAACTTGGTTATTTGGTTTAATATAGTGAGTTTGTTTTAATTTATTTAATATTTTGTGAGCCTAAATCAAATATGAGAAAAAAACAAAATGGCACGAATGTAATATAACGTCAAGAACAAATAATTAGCCTCATGATTTAAATTAATGAATGCATTGACCCTACTACCTTTTTGCCATGAAACAACTTCCATCTACCACCAGCTCATGCTAGCAGAACCCCATTAATATCTCATAAAATGCACCTACGTCATTATAAATAAAATAAAATAAATAAATAATTCAAAAAAGCTTTGTATATTTTCATACGTAAAAGAAGAAAACCTTTTCTCTGTGAGATAGTAAATACTGTGGGGATGTTTGGTTTCATTTCCAAACCCACTTTCCAGTTTTATACTATTCATAAAACCGAGATCATGCTTGTTTCACAATTTTATCTAGAAATTCCCATTTTTTCTTATCAAATTTTTATTGAAAAATACACTATTCATACTTTTTTCAATTTTCAAACCTACTAAAACCTACTACTAACCTATATATTTTATTCCAACAACTCATTTCTCTCTCCTCATTAATATTTACACTTTATCTCCTCTCTCCTCATTAATATCTACACTCTCTTTCCTCCCAATTTCTCTATCTACTACTACTACTACTAAAAATAAAATAATAATAATAATAATAATAATAATAATAATAATAATAATAATAATAATAATAATAATAATATTGTTATTGTTATTAAAAATAATATTCATCGTAGAAGTAGTAATAATAATAATAATAGTAATAGTAATAATAATACTAATAAATAATAAAATAATAATAATTATGATAATTATAATAATATAAGAATATAAACAACAACAACAACAACAACAACAATAATAATAATAATAATAATAATAATAATAATAATAATAATAATAATAATAATAATAATAATAATAATAATAATAATAATAATAATAATAATAATAATAATAATAATAATAATAATAATAATAATAATGATAATGATTATAGTAATCATGATAATAT